CCACGTTTGTAACGTTGGACTAGTTTTACTTCCCACTGAGAAATCCTACTACAAGCTAAACTGGGCTATTACGCTAAAAAGTACTTCACCCACAACGCAACAAAAGTAATGGTGAGTTTTATAAAGAATCAAAACACTGCTTCCCCTCCTATATTTCTGAAAACAACACAGTCCTAAAATTCTCTGTTCTCTTGAATCTCTATCATTTGAACGGTCCTCTGTTCATTCGTTACCATACTACTGACTTGTTTTCTTTAACCTATTTAAATACACGCGTAGCAATCGATCTTATGAAAGGAGTAAGTCTAATTAAGCGTACCGTCGTGAATCCTGTGAAATATATATATATATATATATACAATGTGTACCCCAAATCTACTAAATATAATCTTAATAATCTATTTCTGCAAGGGCAGGTACACACCACTTCTTAATAATCTACCAGAAGGTTAACTTTTATGATGGAATAGAACAAGTAGATAAAAAGGAAAGCTTTCGTGTCCAAAACAGGACTCACCGGTTTGGTGTTGGAAGTTACTCCTTGTTCTCTATTTGGAAACAGTCAAAATGATAGTTGTGGTAGGTTTTTATTAGGATCGTTGAAGAGAACAGTTGAAACTCGAGGAAAAGATATTAAACACACCATTCAATATTCTAGTATTCGAACTTTACTCAGGAGAGTAACTTGAAAATGATTTTTTTGACAATGATTCGAAGCTCTAAAGTAGAACTCACAGTAAAGGAACAGTTTGGAACATCAAGAACATCAGAGTGGTCTTTGAAGTTGTAAAGAAAACCAAGACTTTAGTTTCAACTCTAAAAATTCTAAAATCCTTCATCTGCGGCTTGATGCAAGTCATTCATGTATTTAGAACAATTATCTTTTAGAAATGTCGTCAGTAGAAAAAGGTGTGGATTTATTGGTTCATTATGATTTAAAACCACAATTTGTGACAATATTGCTTTTTAACTCGATCTTGCACCATTCAAACTATAAGCATCTCTGACCAGTCTATAAACAAATTTTACGTAAAATTTCTGAGTTTTCTGGTAGCTCTATTCAGGTTTGTCTGCAGTATAGTAAGTGTTTCTTACTTCCTACCCGAAACGTGGGATAACACCGTTACGTACACACAGGCAAGCAATGCTGAGATGAACTTTTTCCAACCCTCATGAAATGTAGGTTATAAAAAGTATAGGTCTCTCACCATGCGTAGATTGACCTTACTGGAAGCTATCTGGGACAAAACCAGGAACAGTTTCCAACATCTAGATATGAGAACGAAAATCAATTAGTCTATAATATCTCATCAATATACTCAAAAATAAAGGTTACTAATTTTTACATTTCTGACTGACAGAGTTGGTTTATCATTGTAGATGGACATCAGTGGAGGGAAAGCGAGTCGTCTACACCAAAACTTCGACGAATCTTGGGTCCGAACAAGTTAGCTCAGTGAGCAGGCATCCACATGATATCCGGCCTCATCACATTAGGTATGTTTTGTACATGGGAATCGATCTCAAGCATCTTACAGATGATATACTCGTTAGACCGTTTCAAGTAAATGTTAGACGACAATGTGAAAACATAAGTTTGGACATTAAGTGACACTGTAGGTAAGCGTTAGAATATTCTTTCTGGTTCTTCTATATTTCACATGTATTCATGCGATAAGTAAAAATAATCGGATTAATATCGTAATTAAACATTCCCGAAACTGTGCGATTTGATTCAGGTAGGACCAGATGAACAGAAATGAACGTATTATATGTGTGATTCATGATGAACCAGCAATCAATTACAAAGTAATCATCCGTCAGTACAAATACTACAACCGCCACAGCCTAAATGGACTTCCCAATGACCAAAATATGTTGTGCGTCTTCTCCTCAGGTCAATCATATATCTGTTGGGCTGTGCATTTTTGTGTGACCTAGAATGTACAGTATGAGAAGTAACAACGGGAATCGGTAGATTGTAAACATTCTCTAAATGCACGAAGATTTTTTCTTTGAGCAATCTCATCACTGTTATTCGTCACTGGAAAACTTTATCCACTCTACTTTCTGCGTCTTTAAATTTTACAGCAGTAATAGAAATGATGTTTATTTCCAGGGTATTGTCGTTTTTTGCTTGCTCGTCTGGATGAGAGGGCTCTGGAGTCGTGAGCAGTTTTCACACTTGGATTCAATAGCCAGCAAGTTATCAAGCACTCAATTGGAACCATTTCCAGTGGTCAATAAGGGAAGCTATACTTGAAGCATTCTTAAATTTACTATACCCAGGATAGATGATGAGGGACTCCCAATTAAAGGGCGAAACATTTTCGTCTCTAATCAGCAAAGTACAGAACACAAGAATGGAAAGTTTGTAACCAGTGATACGAAAAATGAAACTTCGATAGGCATAATTATAGCATCAGGATTTAGTGACTTCAACTTCCCAAGCGAAATGATGGACTTAATACTGTCAGTTTCAACAATAAAATAGTAAAGAGCACCACTGGATAAATATAATCCTTTTCGAATACGAAGTTGAAAGTAAAAATAATATATAGTCATTAGAATCACCCAAGTTAATAAGAGCTGTATTACAAAGTTTAGCATTACTTGGAGCGAAATGCACAGTAGTTTTACAAACCGACTTCATGTGTCCGATATCACAACACATAAAGCATTTTGCATGATGAAATACACATGAATTACGTGTGTGAAATTTACCACAGGACAAATATTCACCAAGATTGTGCTCACCCTTGTCACCTGCTTTAAAAATCCTCACTGAATTGTTAACCATATTTCCACGAGAACGAGTGTTATGGTCAATTAAACGCCTATCTGTATGGCCTTGAGTACACGTCAAATTCGGATAACTAAGCACTGTATTAGGATTCTTGATGTCCTAGAAGTCAGTTTGATGCACTGCTCCATAATTAATACACGCAGTTCTAGCATCTTGAAAAGAACACTTCGACATTTGCATGAACGCTTTTTCCAGATGTGATATGTTAATCTGTGAAATCAATTGATCACGCAGCTGATATATCCATTTTCCGGTTGCGTAACAGATATTTTTATCCATTTTGAGCTCTTCAGTAACGAAATATTACCAGTTTTTACATAATTAGTCACAAAAGGCAACGTATCTAGCACTGCATTCTTAGTTCCACTCAAAGCATGTTGATTAGTTTTATGGGACGGGTTTGCACACATATCAATTATTCTACGGATCACATTAAAGTAATTTAGCTGAACTATGAATTTCGTCAATTATTTTACTACTATTTAATTTGTGATTAATACTTTTACAAACGAAAATGTATTTACTACGGTTTGATATCATCCTTATCATCTTTAACACTTTTCCTGGTCATACTCCAGATTTCAAACCTTTCCATGTCATTTTTGAAAACATCGGAATTTGAATATATATCCAGCTGTTCAAACACAGGCTATATTGCGACGCCCATGTGATAATTAGAAGTATTCGGATCATTGCGCCATATAAGGATTCCCGAAATAGTGCAATACAAGGCAAGTAGAATTTTAAGAGCACAAACGAACGTATTATATTTATAGTTCGTGATGAGCGCGCAATCAAGTACAAAGGAATCAACAGTTAGTACAAATACCACAATCCATCTTCGTTATCGTTCAAATTTCACTTAATCGTTTTAGTACATTGGATTACTTAATATCTCTCTCACTTCTCACCCTCCATGGAGGATGAACTGTATTTTCCAGTACAGTTAATGTCGTTCTGATATGTTAAATCGTGACAAAAATTGGTCACAACAAACAGGGGAATAAAAAAGTAAGGAATAAAAGAACAAAACTCCAACTCCAAAAGGATAAGAACACTCTGGATCGTATCCAACGGTGAGCCACGAAATCAGTTCAGGGACTAAAATTCAGATCTTATGAAGAGCACCTCCAATCACTTAACCTTTACCCATTAGAGTATAGGCCTCTTAGAGGTGACCTGATGACTTACGGTATCTTTAATACTTCTTGACATCCCCCTAAACATCTAATTAAGCTTAGTCCCAATGCAAACCTAAGGAGTAACACCCAGAAATTGGAGATACAACACAGCAGAATGGACTGTAGACACAATTTATATTCACCAAGAATTGTCAAATGCTGGAATTCGGTGCCGACTGAACTAGTCCAAGCGACTTCCCAAGGATATTTGTAGGGATCCGAAGATTTTCATCATTTTAATTGTTCGTTGAACACTTTCATCAGTAAGAAAGGATTAATCCCGAGTGCAGTTTTATAAAAGGATGTGTAATACAATGGATCACCGACTTATTTTTGTACTAAAAGGGGAAATCTGCTCATGTGTTTACAAGAGTAAAGATGCCACAAGTTCTGGGAGTTTGACAACACCTTAAACAGTAATACTTAATCCAGTTAAATCAGAAGTCAGCAATGAAGACGTTTCATAGTATGTTTAGAAAGCTATCAGTATGTCAAAGGAACGTTTGATCTAAGCTGGTGTAGGGCCAGTGAATAAGTAGCACGGTATATCCACTCGTGATCTGGTGGTGATGCGTGATCAAGCGCCTTCAGCTAAGTAAATCCAGTAAAAGTAATGAGGTCAGCACCAAATGTCGGGAACTTTCAGAGGTACTGATTTTGGGGACTTATTTACCGCTACAAGAACCTAGTAGTCCTATGAATTTTCCCTTTTTTTCACTACGTATTATTGTCCTCCTCCGCTATAATTTATCTCTAGAAATGTTTAGTTTAATGCTAAAGGCTTAGAATCCAAACTTTGCCGAAAACTTAGTAATTATCCATCACTTTCCGAACTTCTCATCTATCATTCCCAAAAGTTGGTCTGAGACGTCATTTGGGCTACTGAAGCCGAGCAGCTAGCAAAATTGATTGAACTCAGAGAAAGGAGTTAGAACTACCACCTGACACCAAGATTCAAGCTGTTAAAATGGTTCATCTCGAAGATATTGGACGATATTCTTGTTATGATGAGTGATTCAGGAGGGGCGGGTTTTCATCTACAGTTTTACGTCATCTAGGAAGATGGGTGATAAGAGGTTTAAGGTCATAATCAAGTCACCTAGTGACAAAATACCTAGTTTGACTGTGCAATGCCTTTCTCACTGGCTGGCCAGTGACTTGAAAAACTACTTATCAGAGCATCATCCCGCCCAACCTAGTGTATCATCTCAAAGACTTATCCATGCTGGTAAGCTTCTAAAAGATGATACATCAATCTCAGACATTTGTAGTCAGGTAAGGTATCTTTTCTGGTCATTTTCAGGTCGATGGGCTTCCTACAATTCATCTAGTATACCCCAACCCAAGACCAGTGGGCGATCCTAATGTCAACAACCAACGAGGTGACAATACTCTGTTGTAAGTTTTACACACCGAATTATCTTGCAGCTCTTTGTAACATCTTTTCTCCGGTATGACCTTTATAGCAGCAAATGGCTAGACCGTAGTCACGTCGCTAACGTCAATCAGCAACTCAAATCCTGGAGTACACATCCATTCGCCAGTTATTACATCACGTCAGTACAACTAGGTTAAGTTAGAAAGTGGACATGAAACGATTCAGAATAAAAATGTCAATGACATCTATAGGAAATAAGCGTTGGAAATATGGCTTGCGAAGAGCTATATATATAAACCAGTTGCTGCAACTGATTCGTAGCCAACTCACTCAACGTTACTAACTGCTGAGCATTGCTGTAGAAAAGATTTCGTGATACTTGTTCATGAATTCGACCCAAGTGTACTACATCTATCCCACTTTGTAAGGTGTTGATACATTCGTACGGGGTTATCTTACATGTACACCATCTTAGTTATGTTAGACCACAAAAACACTTATTAAGAACAGAAATTGATCACTCATTCACACAACTTTACATCTTAGGGAGAGATGCTCAAACGAAACTGGGATTATCAGAATCGCGTTGAAGGATAAGCTAGCTGCTGCATTACTATTCGGAGTTGTTCCTAAGTCGTGAATCACTACTAACCCTAGTTCTTTTCATTCTTGGACTCATGAGAGTAGTGTATCAATGATCTTATTGGCGGCCATTGCCGAGTCCAATGTGAATTGAGGAATCTTTCAGGAATTGATCTTCGGACATCGAATTTGTGGTCGTCTTACTAATTCACCTAAGCCAGCTTGAAGACCAAAGTTATCAGCCTTATTCTCCGGAATTCGAGGTCACCGAACCCCAGTGTCGACGACTATAACTGTCCTGGTAGTTCATGGACGTAGAAAATGCCTTTTATTGTACCTACGTTGTAGCTGATTGCTATCTCAAGACTAGGGAGATTGCATAAGCACTAAGTGAGACATCTTACCAAACGCCATGCTGAATTCTACGACTATCACATTAACAGGCAAGCCACTATCCTGGTCTGCTGTTCGGTCCTTTCACAGTTAGTTAAAAATGAATGCCCATTCCGAAACCTGTTTTACCTAGGAGCTGACAAGTTGGAGTGTGAGGGCTTAATTCTTCAGTTTTAAAATTTTACTTTCAATATATGGATTTTGTTGCGTGGAATTCTAGTAGTATATACCCTCCATCCAGGTTCGTGAGTTTATGTTTCTTGATTTCCTCTCTGACGATTTGCTTGTGTTCACCGACACATGTAGCTGTTATATATTATATATATATATATATATATATATATATATATATATATATATATATATATATATATATATATATATATATATATATATATATATATATATATATATATATATATATATATATATATATATATATATATAATTGCCTCGGTACGGCCGAGAGTGGGGAGAGTCTACTCTTTCTTTCTCAATGCTCTCACATGGTCACGCGTATATAGCCTCTGCCAGGGAAGTCCTACTCATTGCCTTCTCGTAGCGGAGGTGTTGTTTACGAGATTGATAGGACGAGAGGTGAAGGTCCGGCGCCTTAACATGGAGAGTCCACCTACGGGAGTTGGAAAATCCAAACCAGTGGTGCACATAGGCCTCAGTATCCTGAGGGAACAAATGGCGTATGAACCAATTATTGGTCACCGGCTACCATGGGACTGCTTCTCCCTACGTCGCTCCACTGCCTCGCGGATCAGATCTTTAGGCCAAAGGCTCCGGTTTGGGCACCTGGGCAGTATCACAGCTCTCACACAAATCAAATGAGATTTGTGTAGCGCATAAGTATCGGATGCCCCTTTGTACCAATATCTATGTGTTCAAATAAATAAATAAAAATACTAGACTACAGTCACTGAAGTGTCCACTTGTTTTTCGTTTTCGTCTAGTCAATTTAGTATTATTATTTTCCCGTTTTTGTAAAATATCCCACAAAAAATTTATGAACCGAATCCGGCATGCGCCGCGCGATTCTAGGTTTTTGTTTCATTTTTCACCACAGACTCGTATTCAGCTTCAATTTGTGAGGTATTATAAACCAGATCTCAGATAAAAGTCCGTCTCAACTTCCCTATACTTTTGTATCATAATCTAATCGTTATTTTCCGGAATTTTTCTTACAGTGATATTTCACCCGAGCAAATGCATAAATATCAGCAAGCGTATTATCATTATCTACAAACTTTTTATATGGAGAATCCTCCAGTAAATCGGACTGAGTACCGCACACAGGGTTACCGTTGCCCTATCGATTTTGGATCAGGTATGGATCTTATCCTCATATGTTTCTTAACGTACGAGTTTTTTGTGTTGTTATAATGAGATTGACGAGACATTTCAATTAAGATTAAATTGTCATGATCTTATGATAGTGATGATAAATATCACCTCTAGGATTAAGAAGATCAATGATGAATGTATCATTTTGTGGAGTATGTTTCTATTTTTCACTTACATACAAAGATTTTGACCAGATAAGCTTATGAGTACGTTGGTTTATACTTTATGAGGACTTTCTGCAATAATCATGAATGGCATTTCCATATCGTTAAGAAGCAGTTCCGTATATCTACACATTTTATTTAATTTCGAAAGTTATCTCTCTTTAAGTTAATTTTTTTGAAAGATGTTTTTTTGCTTTATTGAATGCTCGTTTCAAGTGCAAAAGGATCTCACTAAATGTACAACTAGTTAATGTAACGTTTGCTGGTGAGTTACTGTCACAGTGTTACGATTGTCGGTTTTAATATAGTACACTGTTAATTGTTTTTAACAGGGACTGTGATACAAATGCTTCCCGGAAACTATAGTTTCCCTAACAGTGCTTATGTACCACAAACTCATAGCTCTTCACACCAAGCAATCCCAAACAGTTCATCTAGCAACACGCAACAGTGGATTCAAAGGGCACAGGCACTTTTATCCGGTTGGGGAGTGTTTAATGGTAATCGTCGTCAGAGGGAAGCGGGTGAGGTATTACCGAATGAAGATGGAGTTAACCAAAGAGCTGACCAAATCCAACCTCAAGCAGCACAAGAAGTGTTTAATAATGCAATACGAAATAATGATCGACCCGATGAAGAGGTTAACGGGGTGGGAAATATGGACATAATTGATCGTTTTTACTTGCTTTTTCGACTTTGTCTTTTCGTGGGACTTTGTTTCGCATATTCATCTTTGGACAAGGCACTTATTGTATTCTCAGTTGCTGCTTATGTATACCTGTAAGTTCCCAACTATTATTTTTCTAATACTAATGCGTTTCATACAATCTTTAGGTTAACCACTTGGCGACCTATAGTAACTGTTAGATTCATTTTGTGGATGATTACTAACTCATGCATAGCATCCAAAAAGCGCTGACCAAACTTATCTTCTCCGCTAGTATGAGCGGAGTTTCTTAATTGCGCCACAAAATATTTCATACGACAGGACACCAGAAATGTGTTATGGAGGGAAATAACATTTGGAAAAGAGAGAATAGGTAAGGGGCACTTAGTCATGCGCAACGTGTGGCAACGTGGACCGATGCACATATGTGATTGGTCCTACGTTGCAGCTGACTAACTGGCGTAGAAGCTGGCATATGTGTGTGTCTTCGACTCAGTCTACTACACCCGCGAAATAAAATTACTAAAAGTGATCACAGAGTAATAAAAGCAGTAAAAATATCATTAGTTGTAAAAAAGACCTAGAGAATATGATTCCAGAAGAAAGAATGAACTCACGGAATAAAATAACTTTGGAACTCTAAATCTAGAGGAAGAAAGAGTGGATATACGCCTTTTTGACTGGTCCTAAGTCATGTTATCCGCCGTCCCCAGCCGTTACGATAATTCGCCGATAGTTTGGCCGCTGTTAGTTTTCTCCCAACTTGCTCCTCAGCCGGCAAACATTGCGTGTCGATGAAGGCAGTTATTGTGAGTACGTAACACTTGTCCTAACCACCTCAGTCAATAAGCATTCACTACCTCGTTTACATCTTCATCGAGTAATCTGTATTCAACCTCAGAATCGCTCACTCTATTGTCCTAATACAATGCTTCAAAAACATCTATGATTAAATACTATTAATCTACAAATGGTATACATATTTTTAAAGGACACATTTCACAGCCATAAAGTAGGACAGGGAACTGCTTCCTTGCAAATACGTCCTTTGATCGGCAAAGGGACATCACGCCTACACCGCGGATGACGCAAGTTGACGAGCGCCAACTGGGCCTTCTGAATCCGCCTCGAGATTTCGTCAGTTACCAACTCACTAGCACTGATGAGACTCCCAGGATGCGTGAAGTGATCGACATGCTCAATCATTTCATTCTCCACCATTAAGCCAGGCATTGATACAACTCAGTCCAGAAACAAAACTTTGTACTTAGATGGAAGAAAATGCATCCCAAACATGACAACATTGTTGCGCATAGTAATCAAAATCCTCTGTATTCTGTCAGCATCCTCACCAAAGAGAACAATATCAGCGTATTCTAAACTGACAAGTGAATATCCTGGTAATAAATCGATTTCTAAAATGTCACGATGTAAGAGTTATTTCCAAAAGAATGTCTATGACAGAGTTAAATAAAAATGGGGAAAGCGAACAACCCCGATAGACAACACTTTGAGTTGCCAACTCCAATGACACCTCCATAAGTTCCGACTTGACTAGTAGTATTCGAGTAAAGAGCTTGTACAAGGTTAATGTACCTTTTTGGTGCACCTTCCGATAAAAAACACTACCATAAGACCTCTTGATCTACAGAACCGAACGCTGGCTTAAGTTCAGGAATCACAAACATAGTTGGTAGTCGGTGGGTAAGTCCATGTTCCAAAATCTGACAAAGGGCAAATATTTTGTCTACACATCCATCCCCGGGTCTGAAACCAGCCTGGCTTCTACGAGGATTATTAAGGTCGATAATTTTAGACACTATATAAGTCAAACTGATTCCTCTGTGGTCATCACAAGAGAATTTCTATCCTTCATTGTAGACTGGAATGATCAACAGTCGGGACCAGTAAAATGAGACTAGGTTCATTTCCCATACTCTAGCTAATATCTCGCTTAACTTGAAAGCCAAGAGTAAACAATCATCTTGGAAGATTTCTGGCTTTAATCCGTCAGTACCTCCTACTATCCTTTGCCTAAAATTAGCAATGGCTTTTTCTACTTCATTAAGAGGGTGGGAGGTTTACGTCAACACCACATTCAGATTTCTTGGTAAAAGTAAGTAACTAAAGAGTGGCTAGATAGCAGTCAAATTGTTCTTCCCATCATTTTAGTATCCCGCGTTGAGAGTGGATCATTTGTGCATATTTTTCTGAAATACTCGCTAACTACCGAACCTTACCTTGACTAGTCTGAAGAGTTCCAAACAAATCTATTTGAACACAAATGGTTAAATTTAGCATTTAGCAAACTCAACAATTAAGTATATAGTGTGTATTTATCGCTGAGAAAAACCAAGCACAGTAATTTTCACCTTACATTTGAGTTGTTAGATTCACGTTAACATGTACAAAATTAGATCACATAGCTTATTATTTCAAGAACAAACAGTAATATCTCACTGAAAACCCTATTTTTTGTGAATAACAACTTTATATATGGTCAAAACAACGAAGAGAGCAAATTGATACCGATGTTAATAAAATTACGAAGCTATTGAAGACGGTTCTCATTACGTGATCCGCATCGGCTGGGTAGACGTCTTTTTTTGAACACCCGATTCGTCGATCCAAGTGTGTAACTAAAGAGGACAACGGTTGTCAAACACGCACTGCCAGGATTGTTTAGTGGCTGGTAGCATTAATCCATTATTACATCGGGGGTACCATCGATGAAATGAAAGTTGGAGATTTTGAAAAGACATCATTCCCCGTTCTCAGTTAATCAGTATAATTAAGCAGCTCAGTCTTAAAGCACACTAATATAAATTCAATTAATCAGCACTCAGTCAGCTACAACGTAGGACCAGGCAAATATGTGCATCGGTCCAAGTTGCCATACCTCATTAGTACAATAAGATGAACACCGGATTCATAGAAGTAGTTAGCTCAGTGGTGGTAATATCTAGAAGAAAGATTGCGTATAAGGACATAGTACAGGAAGAAAGAATTAATTCGTAGAAAGAAAGATATGAAGCGATTTTAAACTCACAGTTTAAAGGAAGACAGTGCACCGACGCCATTGTGAGCGATTCTGAGTCATGTGGCCCAGAGTCTCCAATCATAAGCACTACCTCCATTATAAGGCGTGATACGCTACCCAAAATAAGCAGCGATATGATAGTCCCATATAAGCCCATGATGTTAATCATGGTCAACCTAAAACCTAGCACAACTGTTTATTAATTGAGGTTTGTAGCCTGATCAATCAACTTACTATCATACACCTAACCTCTTTATCTAATCGTTGTTTCTACTGCATATGAGCAATGCTTTAAAGACGCTTATCCGTACCTTCTGCATTCAAAGGTCATTAAAAAAGCATACTAATGTGAATCTTTTTGGCTCGACCTGGGGGTAAGGTAGATAGCAAATGACGTAGCAAGTCATAAGACATCAGCCCAGTTCTTTACTATTCAGGATAGATAATGAAATAAAATAGTTATGAGTAGTCAGAGTTGTCATCACTTGAATGAGTAGTTCAACGTCTGTATTATTCATTGGTGGTTAGTGTAATTGAAATCTCTCTTGATAGATATTGATTTCCTTTGTCGTAAGTTATATTTTTGGGGGTGTATATCCACATAATTTTTCTTTTAAAAAGCATCTTGCTCAGCTAACGAAATTCATAAAGTCCTTGATGGTGCTAGTAGGCTCTTCCAGGAGTTTCTTTTTCTCCGTTGCTTTTTCTTTAAAATGGGAAAAACTTCAGCTGATGACCCAAACGTAAATTTGAATTTGTTTTAAGAAAGAGCTCTTTAATCTTTACTACACGAATAAAATAGAAGTAGCCGCCTGGAGTCCCTCCGGGGGCTACTGCCGGTCCCAAGCCCGGATAAAGGAGGAGGGTTGGGCATGGGGTTAGCGTCCCCATCCCGTAGAAAACTAACTCGCTAAAAAAACGCTAACCAGAAAAAATTATTCAAACCTTTTAAACTCTGCCCTGGGAGTCAGAAGGTCTTCGTTTAGAAGAATTATGACGCCTCATGATGAAAGCCGAATTCCTTCGGAAGTTACGAGGCCGATGCCCCTTCCGACAACCAGAGCGACCATTTGTTTAGGTACATGGAGTGTTCGTACAATGTGGGACACTGGGAGAGCCTTCCAAATTGCTGCAGAAATGAGAAGATACAACCTGGAGGTACTTGGGATCAGTGAAACACATTGGACACTAGTTGGACAACAACGACTAACTACAGGAGAGCTCCTGTTATACTCCGGCCATGAAGAAGAAAATGCCCGACATACACAAGGAGTTGCATTGATGCTGTCCAAACAAGCGCAAAATGCACTTATAGGATGGGAATCTCATGGACCAAGGATCATCAAAGCCTCGTTTAAAACAAAGAAAGAGGGCATTTCAATGAACATCATCCAATGCTATGCGCCTACCAACGACCACAATGAAGACGCTAAAGATCGATTCTACAATAGGCTGCAGTCAATCGTCGAGAAGTGCCCAACAAAGGACCTGACCATTCTGATGGGAGATTTCAACGCCAAGGTTAGAACGGACAACACTGGATATGAAGACATCATGGGACGACACGGACTGGGAGAAAGGAACGAAAATGGTGAGAGATTTGCAAACCTATGTGCCTTCAATAAACTGGTCATAGGCGGCACCATATTCCCACATAAACGCATACACAAAACCACATGCACTTCACCGGATCACACTACGCAAAACCAAATCGACCATATTTGCATCAACAAAACGTTCAGGAGGACTATGAAGGACGTGAGAACCAAGAGAGGAGCTGATATAGCATCAGATCATCACTTGCTGGTCGCCAAGATGAAATTGAAATTCGAGAGGTACTGGACAACGGGGCGGACAATATCACAAATGTTCAATATGGCCTTTCTTCAGGATACTAACAAACTCAACAAATTCAAGATAGTCCTCAGCAACAAGTTCCAGGCCTTTCGTGATCTACTCAATGGAGAAGGAACTACTGTGGAGAGCAACTGGAAGGGGATCGAAGAGGCAATCACTTCAACATGTCATGAGGTCCTGGGTCACAAGAAGCACCACCACAAGGAATGAATCACTGTTGATACACTGGATAAGATTCAAGAAAGAAGGAACAAGAAGGCAGCAATCAATACCAGTCGAACAAGAGCAGAAGAAGCCAAGACACAAGCTGAATACACAGAAGTAACCAAACAAGTGAAGAGGAGCATCAGAACCGACAAACGTAAATTTGTGGAAGATTTAGCAACGACGGCGGAAAAGGCTGCATGAGAAGGAAACATGAGACAATTGTATGACACGACAAAGAAACTCTCTGGAAATCGCCGCAAACCAGAACGACCAGTGAAAAGCAAGGAAGGCGAGGTAATCACCAACATTGAAGAGCAACAAAACAGGTGGGTCGAACACTTCAAAGAACCCTTGAATCGACCAGCTCCACTGAACCCACCCAACATCGAAGCAGCACCCACGGACCTCCCAATCAATGTTGGCCCACCAACAATTGAAGAGATCAGCATGGCCATCAGACAAATCAAGAGTGGCAAAGCAGCAGGACCGGACAGCATTCCAGCAGAGGCACTAAAAGCAGACGTAGCGGCAACTGCAAGGATACTCCACATTCTCTTCAATAAGATTTGGGATGAGGAACAAGTACCAACAGACTGGAAAGAAGGACTTCTGATCAAAATACCGAAGAAAGGCGATCTCAGCAAGTGTGATAACTACAGGGGCATCACTCTTCTCTCAATACCGGGAAAAGTCTTCAACAGGGTATTGTTAAACAGGATGAAGGACTGCGTAGATGCCCAACTTCGTGACCAACAGGCAGGATTCCGTAAGGATAGATCGTGTACGGACCAAATCGCAACTCTACGGATCATTGTGGAACAATCAATTGAATGGAATTCATCACTCTACATCAACTTCATTGACTACGAAAAGGCATTTGATAGCGTGGACAGAACAACACTATGGAGGCTTCTTCGACACTACGACGTGCCTCAAAATATAGTCAATATCATACAGAGTTCATATGGTGGATTAAACTGCAAAATCGTGCATGGAGGACAGTTGACAAAGTCGTTCGAAGTGAAGACCGGTGTTAGTCAAGGTTGCTTACTCTCACCCTTTCTCTTTCTCCTGGTTATCGACTGGATCATGAAGACGTCAACGTCTGAAGGGAAGCACAGGATACAATGGACATCTAGGATGCAGCTGGACGATCTAGACTTCGCAGACGATCTGGCCCTTCTATCCCAAACGCAACAACAGATGCAGAAGAAGACGAACAGTGTGGCAGCACCCTGAGCAGCAATAGGTCTCAATATACACAAAGGGAAAAGCAAGATTCTTCGATACAACACAGCATGCATCAATCCAAGCACAATTGACGGAGAAAGTTTGGATGATGTAAAAACCTTTACATATTTGGGCAGCATCATTGATGAACACAGTGGATCTGATGCAGATGTGAAGGCGCGGATCGGTAAAGCAAGAGCAGCATATTTACAACTGAGGAATATCTGGAGCTCAAAGCAACTCTCAACCAACACCAAGGTCAGGATTTTCAATATAAATGTCAAGACAGTTCTACTATATGGGGCAGAAACCTTGAGAACTACGAAAGTCATCATTCAGAAAATACAGGTGTTTTTTAACAATTGTCTACGCAAAATACTTCAGATCCATTGGCCGGACACTATTAGCAACAACGTACTGTGGGAGAGAACAAACCAGATCCCAGCGGAAGAAGAAATCAGGAAGAAGCGCTGGAAGTGGATAGGACACACATTGATGAAAGCACCCAACTGTGTCACAAGACAAGCCCTCACATGGAATCCTGAAGGTCAAAGGAAAAGAGGAAGACCAAAGAACACATTACGCCGAGAAATGGAGATAGACATGAGAAAACTGAACAAGAATTGAATGGAACTAGAAAAGAAGGCCCAGGACAGAGTGGGTTGGAGAATGCTGGTCGGTGGCCTATGCTCCATTGGGAGTAACAGGCGTAATGAATAATGAATGAACCGGCTGCTCTCAAAAGAGTACTGTGATAAAAATATCGTTCACAAATCTCTTTAGTAAGCAAAGCAAACTTACCGAGGCAAATATAGCATTACTAAAGTACACCTTCAAATGGTCCTCAGCTTGTTCATTATAATACGTCTAAAATTTTCATGACGTTCTAAATATATCCGTACCAACAAATTGCACTTTTTTGCCGTTAAATTACAGTATTTCCAATCCACAGAATGTCCCCATAAATTGCTCCACGAATCTAGTCTGGTTGTAAAAGATAGGCTCCACAAAATCACACTAGTATATATTTCGGATGCCCTCGTTAATATACCGAAACTAGTTGTTAAAAATGTGTTGCTTTTGGAATATTACTCCGTGAAAATTTAGTTAAGGAAAATCCTTGGGTTATACACTTCCACAAGTGAAATAACGTAATGATCGTCAACTTTGACATATGGCATGTTAATTCACTTTATTTCTAGGTTTTTACATTGATTTATTCATGCACTAGATAAATTTTAAATTTCACTAGCCTCTATTTACATAACCAGTATAGTTCCAACAGTAATTACTCGTAGTATATACTTTTAGCAGTTACTAATTGGAATCTATTGTCATCAAGTTTGCGACTAAGTTTTAATCTGTAACGTTTTTTGACATATCACAAAATCAAAGGATCACTATTGGCCCTTATAAATGTGAGTTGTTTTCTATTTTAATTAATGCAGCTGTTTTTTTCTGTAGTATTTTAGCGTATGATTACTAAAGACTAAAAATGTCTTGTTACGTGGCTATCAATTTGATGCTATTTCTACTGCAACTTTCATTGTTATTTTTCGTGTCATATCTCGAGTGCCGTAGAAATGGTTTAGTACCAAATCAAATATTCCTTAATTATCATCAAGCTTATGATACACTTGATGTTATATTATCCCAATCATCGAAGTTCGGTTTCGATTGGTATATTTTTGAAGTGGGTCAGCCAATCACCTTAAGTATTGGATTTGTTTTGTGAATACAGGTTAATTCGGTATTCGTGTTTGTCCTGTATATCGTTTTTAATTCCGATCGTTTGAGATGTAAGACAACCTTAAGGATTGACGTTAAACGAATTTGGTTGGAGTTTATTTTCATCGTTGGAGTTTTTATTGTCGGATGAATTGATTGGTTAAATTATCTGGTTAGATCAGTGGATGCCAAGAAACCGTTTTCCAATCGACAACAGATAACAAAGCATGTAAAGCATCAAAATATCCTGTTTAAATTATCATTTGCATAATTTCAAAAATATTCTAATCCTAGGTATAATATCTACCGCAGATACGCTGTTGTAGAGCGTATAGTACAGGCTCAACGACGACCACAACAAAATCCGCAAGGTACACAAAGCAATTTAAACACTCCAGTAAGTATGCTGAAAATTTCATGTTGCACTATTACTATTGTTACTTTTAATATTGTTGATTCGGTAAACTGTCTACATCTTTATATTTTCGGGAGAATAAATTAAATCAGAAACATCTATATTCAAGATTGCAAAAAAAAGCAGCCAACGCTGTGAGGGACAAACAAGTGGCAACGATTCGTTCACTATAACCGAACACATCAACTGGAATAATTGGTAGCTTCTATTCAGTGGATAATACGTATTTAGGTGAGACGTGCAATAATCAAACAAGCTATTGCAGAGAAGTATAATCAGATAACTTTAAGAAATGATGCTACTACTTGGATGTATGTCAAAGTCATTAGAAGTGAATCAGCTGTACAACAAAAGTTCACTATTAAATTTAACAAAATGAATTGGACTTGACTTAACATACTTTCAATCAGAATGCCATAATTCTCATAGGGATTGTTCCAAATGTATAGTGAAGCACCACAGTACTTTACCCAAAAGCTAACGCCCAGATTACACAGATAAGATCGCAAAATATGATAAGGAACAAGAATATGGTGACCATCTTTAGTTACGAGTAATATTGTGAGTCCTGAAAGCTCATTACGTTGGTTAATTTGACATATGTGTATCGTCTTATAAGGCCATGGTAATCCATATAGTGTGATTAATGATATATGTGTGTTAGGCACTCGAGCTACACCCTATTTTACCGTACTGGATTGGATAACCCAATACATCAATCCATTATAGCTTTGCCAGTAATTCACTAAATAACAGATGAGCTGATGTTGAAATATCACAATTTTTGTGCGTGACGCCTCAAAATATCATCCCGCTAATTTTCCAGCCATCTTGTAAGCGATTACAAATGTCCTACAAATCTATTTACATACATAAGAAAAGTTCAGGAAAAAACCTATCAGCCCTCAGTTAAATAAGTCCTGTAACGATATTCCCCTAACATTATATTCGGGAAATTGATGCTGAGGTCTAAAAAACGACCGCTTCCTAGATCTAATGTAGTCAGGCTCCGTTATTTTCATGGCAAATCCCGCTTGATTTTTGCAACGTCTTCACTAATTGGTCAGGGAGTGACTACGAAAACCAAGTATCATTTGTAACAGCTCTTCAGAGAACTTCTACGATACCAAACCCAAGAATTTGTTCTGTTGACCGAACAAAAATATTCACATTAGTTTCAACGAATTCTTAGTCGATTTGATTTTAAAAACCACATGGTAGTGTTTTTCCCAAATTCCACTATCTGATATAGATTTTTAAGTGTTAGTGTATGTACGCGTCATAACTTCAATTCTTCAACACGATATTGTAAAACATATGTGATTTCTTATCAACAGGCAAGTGAACAATCAGAGAATCAGCAAAGCCAGCTTGCTCAGGAGTCTACAGATCAAGCAAACGTTAGCCTACGTGGTGAACAAGAATCGAGATTTACGAGGATAACTACAAATCTACGTTCGGCAGCAAATCTTTCTTATCAGTTCTTTTCAGCTCTGATTTCCTCAATTATTCCAGAACAACCACCACCACTACATCTAGACTAGAGTTCATTATCTTCTAACTTGATTACTGAACGATATTTTATTTAGTATGTTATACAAGATATAATACTGACCCTATAACCTCACTCCTTATCTACTTTTTATTTTTAATTTAATCCGAAATTTGTCTTTTGTTTCACAAAGTGCCTTCATTTTTATGTCTGTACACACAACATTGGGAAGCGAAAACGTAGCAACTTGTTGAAGGTTCTATTCACAACAAAAATCTATCTAAAGTATTTTTTGAGTACAATGTTTTGCTAATATTAGTTAACCAGTAACCTATTTAGGTTACCAAAAATATCTGATATGTCCAGTGATTTGACGATGCATTTTTATTGGTAGCTAAATCAAGAGTACTCCAGCTCCACAAAACTGCACCCCCCCGTAGGCAACATGATTCAGTTTTGTGAAAGCCACACGTTCAGTGCTAAAGTACGTATTCTAAATGCTTTTCTGCTGTTTAATAAATGCCATATTTTGATTGACTTGCTAAATAGCAAACAAACTGCATGAAGATGAGTCAGGTACTAACGTATGACAAGAAGTTACGTGTGGGTTGTGAGAAAGTAATGTCGTGTTTATGGTGTAAACGCTGAAGAAATATCAATAGAATTAGTAGTATGAGTACATCTATTTTCTAATAAAAACTACCCAACATATTTTAAACTGTTATGTTTTATAAGTAATATATACAAAATGAGAAATTATGGTAGGAAAATTATTCTTTACACGCATGATGAAAATTGTCAGAAAAATGTGCGTATTCAACTTTTCTGTCCGATTAATTTAATATTCATGAACGCTTCCGTAATGTTTTCCTGTAAGTATAACAGAATTTAGGTAAGATATCATTTCTACAGCACGGTGATATAAAATATAAGTATTTTCATTTATTTATTTGAACAAATGAATATTGTCACAATGAAAACCAGATATTGAAGACAGAAAAACGAAGTTGTCTATAACAACAAAAACAAATCCAAATTACTGTATGAATGTGTGGAAAGTAATATGACAAACATGATAGTTACGAAAATAAAACCAGTAAGGGTTCTTCCCACTAAAAAAACTTAGGTAAAGAAAGCTTTATAAAAAACTGCCAGGCACTCGGTGTGGACCGACGTGCTCATCTATGCTTTTCCATGGGATGGTAGCTAGCATTGATATTTAATTGCAACAGAAGCTGCAACCAATTTGCTGACGTCGATCCATTTGGAACGATGAATTTGTTAGCGTATGAAACACAAGATAAGATTAGTGTAAACAAGGGCACGATCAGAATCCAGATAGGCACTCCAAAATGAGCGGCATTCTTGTACACAACCACGCCAGCGATAGTCGATCGCGATGTGATCAACCTGAGTCCAGGCTTGAGATGCAGAAGGAGAACTCCAAGTAGCACGTCGGCGATGACTGCGCCGGCAGTGAGTGTTATCCAGAAACAGGTTGTAGTCTACTCAAAGTTGCAGTAGTCAGTCATCGTCCCTTCACCTGCGACCAACAAGCCCCCGTCGACCACCTAAACGACTCGCTTCTGTGCCTAGACGCCCGACCTAAGCATTCAAGTTTCTGGCTAGTACTACAATATCTGTCAAACTCACTTCCTGTAAACGAACAGTTAACTGGTGATAAAACGCATCCTTGATAGAATCCGGGCTACAATCTGTCGGAGCATAAGTGGAGATGACGAAAAGACATTGTTTCTCACACCGACGTCTTCATAATTTGATGGGACTTTCTAATCTAACAGCACATAACGGACTGATAACGAGGATTCAATCCATTAGTGATACCTTAGCTTTAGTGGTTAGTGAGACAGCAAAGCCAGATAAGGATGCCGAATAATGATGACGCAGTCGAGCTATATTGCTTGGAACTCAGTTTCCTTTAGGTCTTATAATGTCATAAGTTAAGACTAAAAACAAACTGAATGTCGGAGGGGGCAGTCGAATGAAGAGAACTGTGCTACGCTCAGACAAGCAGCATCTGCAGTGATGTCTCTTCACTATGAAAAGAAGGGGTTTGAAAAAGTCGAACCTATATGTTATAAACACGGGTTTCTGATTCCAGCGTTGGTTCAGCCTTCTGAAATGCAGAGCTAACACACCAAGAACGTCTTATGTGAAGGGCGTGAGGGAACAGCTGTGTCTACAACTCCGAGGTCATGCTGACAGGTCGCCGAGACCAGCACTAACCCAGATTTCGTTTCCGGTCCCTAAAAAAGAAATATCTTTCCACGATATGGGTGACCGGGAGATGAAAACCGACGTCATCCCGAGATTGTTTTGTTCACGATCAAATCCTTACCTCATTCTTAATAATTCTCGAGACTAACCCTTCTTGCGTGTCTAAATTACACGGATCTCTTAATGTTTGAACTTTATTCAAGAACATTGTCCGGCGTGGCTAAAAAGAGGAGGCAACGGCTCAATAAGTTCTATAATCGAACACCTTGTGAACACAGGTCACTCAATCAAGACAGACTCTGCGTTCAAAGTCATCAACAAGGTAAGTAGAAGCCTTCCTAAGACAATTGGACTGCATCTTCTTTGCATTGCCGAGGCAATAGCCATACATTTTGTAAAACCAGAATTATGTGTACAAAAGAGACTGGTACAACCTCTTCTTCTACCGTGGTCTTAATGTAATAAAAAAATTTTCTCTTTCCTCATACTCTTGTTCCCTTACAGCCACCTGCTTCACCTTCCATCTTCCCTTCTAACCCCAACCGGTTTGTTTTTACTTCCACGATCATTCCGATCACATTTCATCTCTGTTTCAACATTTTATTTTATCATGCTGAGCCATCCTTACCCAATGAATACTTCAGTCATTAACTATCAAACGATTATTAAACTTTCCTTGTTTAGAAATTTTTTTACCTTTGTTTATTTAACCTCACTGTCACCATGTATAACAGAAGTTTATTATCAGTATTATTATCACCCTGTAAAAATAAGTATATATATTTGCGATTGTACAGCTTTGAAAATGAATTCGCCGAAAAGAGAACTCTTCGCTGAACTAATCTTTTTTTCTTATTTAATGTCATAATGGGTGTATTCCGTTTATTAAAAAGAAAAGATTAAGAACATAATTCAGGAACAACTAGAACAGGAGCCAGTCAACCACGAAAGTGATATCCATCTCGAGGTAGTTTGGGATATCTAAAAAGCCGTGGAAACATCAGGTGCATCCAGTCTTCGTTTTTCTGCCAAATTCTGAAATAACGAATCCCTTACAAATGGTTTTGTTTTCATTTCACCAATTAAGATTTCTTCTCGAATCGTATCTTCGATTGCTGATCTTTTCTATCACCATTCATGCTGTTACTTACTACCTCTACCATTCTGGGATTTGGTCTGACAATCTCATCTCTGTGCTAATGGGATATGGTAACTTGAACATATGTATAATACGTACCAGAGTCAACGTTGAAACTGACTGATCTTCGAGAGGGACAGTGTTTTCTAGTGAACGTAAATAAAACACGACTGAAGGTGGTGGCAGCTCCTGGATCCCCTTTTTATTCTACAATTGTGTTTGACGAACGGTCTTAATCTTTTAGTGGAGTTGTATCTTCTAAGCTAGATGTTTTGATTGCATGGCTTTCATCATCGTCCTAGGCATCAACAGAGCCTACTCCTCTAACGCTTTATGAGCTGTAGCGGAACCTATATGACTATTTAGCTTCGGATAACAAAACACATCCTCGTTAATACTGAGAACTACAGCACTCATAAAACAACAGGTCGGGCTAGGAAAAAAAGAAGGGAATTTCTAGGGTGTTGGAGATTTATGGGACTTAGTGTCCATCCCGATTGTGCTCAGTTTTAATGCAAGTCATTTAGCTAATAACTGAGAACACATCACTAGCTGGCAAAACATGGTTTGTGGATAAACAGTAGGGTGTATTAAAATAGTGGCTTTAAGGATATTTCCCCCATACAACCTAATGATTTGACTCCCGATGACTCTAGCTACCCAAATTCGAGTATCAATACAAGAAGTAATACAACGCAAAATAATCCTCAACCGAACTTGTACCGTGCTATCAACTATCGAGAAGACAAAAGAATGTCGAAAGTTTATTACTTCTCTAACCGTCGTTAATACAGAAAAGGAGTCCAGGTATTTTGTTTCCTTGAGATTTGGGCAAATAGGTAGCAGGTCACGTAAGTCCTGACTCAATATTGTGCACGTGGTTTAAATGCTCAAGATAGGGATAATTAAACAGTCTATTTCGAGATAATTTCATTAAAATGTTTGGGAAATATAGGATTTTCCAACAGAGTTAATTTCTATTGCAGGTTGAACGATTTACTTAGGGGATCAAAAAGACGAAAAAAAGAAGTCGATGGACTAGATGCCATGAGACAACATAGATTGCAATGGTACCCTTATATCCAAAATGAAATATTCTCTTGACCCAATAATCCCCAATGTGGAGGAATGAGGGGAAAAAACTAGAAAAAAGATTGATTTGTCTGGTACCTGATTTATGTCATTTTTAATAAAAATTTCATGGACTAAAAAATTATAAATGGAAACTTACTTTTTCATTACTTGTGCCTCCAGGCGCCCACGGACACCTACCTCCTTCTTTGATATATTAGTAAGACCAGGATAATGTCTTCTAGCTTTTTTCTTAATTTCTTCATCTAGTTCTGAGTAAAAATGACCGGAAAACTAAATTATATACATGAATAATTTCATTGACAACTGAGGAGTTATAATAACAATAAAAGTATCCACCAATGCTTTAAACTCTATAATGACTCCAGAGACAAAAAATGAAGCTAGAGTTAATTATCTTCTTTAACAATAACAAAAATACGATAAGCGTCCTTATTAATTGTGATATGATATGAAATTGAACGCAAAAAAGACAATAATCTCAATGGTATGGAAACAATGTTGTTTAATTCGGTTCTTCTTTGTTTAATAAATTCCCTCAGCTGATTGGAAGTTTATTTTGTACAAAGTGCCGTTAAAAATTATGATCTATTTTAGTAAGTTGCAATTGTAATGATACGTCGTGCCCAAGTCTGGTACTGATGTACACACTTCTTATACTAAAGACGGCTATTGAGTAAAAAGACTAAGAGTGAAGAAGGAAGTTTACTGGAATGAACGAAATCGGATGCAAAAAAACTCATTTATACGTATTTATTCAATAAAAATTAGGAAATTTTTCAGACAAGAACGGGAACTTATTATATTTTCAATTAGCAAAACACATCCTCATTTTTATCAGTGATTGTACAGAGGAAATTTTTTAGTTTTGATATGAGCCGTCACGGTCGGTGTTTCAAGATGGTGATACCGGGTGAATTATCGTCACTGTACCCGCATACACGATGCTGAACCTCCTCATTACTCACATGGCGGTATCACTGGGTGTTAGCAACCTGCCAGAGACAACAATGGTGATGAGTTGTCTAAGATTCTCAACAGATGCGTTGTAGATTCGATCTTTTACAGCCAGGCTAACATCACGAAGGTGCCAAAGATGGCCCAGATTGGCATAAACCTCTCTGGCTTTTACTATACATGAATTGATCTCATCACTCATGCCACAACCATGCAGCTACCCAGATACACGAACTTCTCGACTACTTCTATCTGCTCACTAACCAGGGTGAGTGCAGGATCAGGGGCCTACCAGTCCTGTAAAAGTACTTTACATTTCGAAGGTGCAAAGCATATGCCATACCAACGAACACTAATTGCCAACTGATTAGATGCGGATTGCATGGCTTGGGTATTATCGCACAGTAAGACAATATCATCGTCATATTCCAGGTCGATAAGTCTTTCTCCAGACAACAGGTCCACACCATCATTACCTCCATCCATCAGAACTGTTTCCAGAACGTCATCGATAGCAAAGTCGAAGAGAAATGGTAAGATTGGGAAACTCCACCCAACCCCACTGCTTGAATGGAACAATGGAGAGAGGTGGTTGTATTCCCTCCCTCTGCCTGAGGTGTTTGTATATGCAGCACACCCTTCCTCAATAGACAGTCTCAGATGACAGTCCTGTCCAACGAATCGAAGGCGGCCCTAATGTCACTATGGTTGTTGGCTTGTGATGAGTATGACGGTGTTCTAACATTTGGCGGAGGGTGAAGATATGACCAATACATCCTCAACCAGAACAAAAACCAGTCTGCTCCGCACCAGTCAATGTTTCTAAGGTTTTGAACAATCTACGAAGTATGACAGAAACTAATAGTTTGGACGCAATCGGAAGTAGACCTATCCCCTGATAGTTGTTACAGAAACGACGTGAATTCTTCTTGAAGATAGGGGCAACTATCGACTCATTCCATGATGTTGGAACACTCTCTCTCTCTAATTGCCAGACATTTGTCAACAACTCAGTCAGTTCCTTAACTATAAAGTCACCAACATCTTTAAAAAGGACCAGAGGTAGGTCATCTGAGCTTGGTGATTTGTGACACTTCAAGAGTCGGAGTTCCTTACAGATTTCCGCCTCATCAGGTGGATCAGTCGCTACCTGCCATGGAGAGCAGGACAGTCTAATCGACGTCGCCGGGGCAACAGACCAGTTAAACTGCTGCTCGAAAAACTCAGACTATCGTTCAAGATGTCGGTAGATGTTATCGATTGACATTCTGCCAGCTTGACAGATTGTTTCATACACCTGACTTCTTGCTGCCAGTGTCTCGGATGAGTTGAAAGAGCTTCAGGAAGTCACAAGATGCAGCTGCTGCTTCCAACTCGTTAGTACGCTCCGACTACCAAGCTTCTCGGTCCATACGCAAACTTCGCACAATTTCATTACACAATAATCTTCATTTATGGTCAAGCTCGCAGTCACTCGGAATAGGCCGATGTGCGTCAACGGGTTATAACGATCCTGTAGAAATTCAGCGCTTATAAGCTGGACGTTTCGCGAAGCTGCAAGCGAATTTACTCGCGTCATGCAAATGCAACCAGTGCTCATCCAATTGATTAGTGCTGTCTCGCCTCTAGTGCTTAGTGAAACACCAACCCCAGCAAAGCCAGATAGAGATGCCACAGAGTCTCCGGACAAACGCACGTGAAACAAGCTTTTCGAAGAGACAGATGGAGAGAGAATTTATAGTACTTCACTACAGTCTTGAATAGACAACATACATCGATGTTGAGACTTTCTAAGGGAATAGTCAACCCTATCTGTTGTTCGATCTGCATCAGTGTGAGAACGTTGAAGGAAGCCAGTTTGAATGTCATACGTAGTTTCAGAAAGATTGTATCAGTATTCTTAGTCGGTGGTATCATTCAACTTTTGACCAGTCAGTGACTCGAAATCGTTTAGATGGGACAGGGTTTCCACCATAGGCGAGCTGCTATATAATTTGAAAAATAAAGGAATACATAAAATAAAATAAATGCGAGTTGACAAGTAACTCAATATAAACTAACAACGAATGGTACCGAATATTTGTGAGGATGAGGATCAAAGCAGGTATATGTTTTTCGAGTTGTATTTATGATTAATTTTGTGAGAGGGCTGGTATACTACTCATGTGTCTAAACCGAAGTAGGTGATTTTCTTTCGGGCCACTCCCTGATCGTTTAACTTGGGTAGAACAGGGTTTCGACCATATGCGAGCTGCTGTGTAGGGACCACTTTGTTAAATTCATGTTAACATGTACAAAATTAGATCACATAGCTTATTATTTCAAGAACAATTAGTAATATTTCACTGAAAACTCTATTTTTTTGTGAATAACGACTTTATATGTGGTCAAAACAACGAAGAAAGCAGATTGATATCGATGTTAAAAAATCTACATTTTTCAAAGTGCAGCCTTCAACTTATGAATTTATATAACAAAGAAAATTCGTGTGAAATTACACCATTAAACAAGAAAACTCACTTTTTTGTCTAGCTAATCTCTTAGATTCCATTTCTGTTTGGAGAAGTTTTCGGTCATTCATATTAATCGGTCTCCCAGTTATTTTGTCACGTTTAACAATTCTGCCATGTATAGGACATCGACCGCTTGGAT